AGTGCGTTGATAATAAGGGAGACTTCGTATGGTTTAGTCGGAGCTAGGAACAGTGTGTTCGGGTAGTTGCCGGTGAGGTAGTCATTTGGTGGGTATCTGAGCTTGGGATTTTATTGGCAAGGTTTTGTCCTATAGTGGGAAGAAATCATTGAGTCTGTTGCTGTTTCTGTTGGTGGGAGTTGGGGTTCATCTGATTTTGCTAATTTTTATTTCGCTATTTCGTGATATCTTTTTGTTCCCAGAATTTCTGATAGGTTTTTCCAGATCTTTTTTATATCACCTCATAAGTTGGATAATCTGTTCTCATAATACAATTTTTTTGCCCTTCTATCAGGCTGGTTAGGATTGACGAGTAACGTTTTTGTTTGGTCTCTGGTTATGTGACCCATTCTGTACTGTTTTTTTATTGGTGTTTTGTATTTATGGATTTGAGAATGCTGGGTGTTAGCCAGGACTGTTCAGTCTCTTTGCTGTCATCTGTTTAGTTTTTTAGGCAGTGCTTGTTATAGAGGTATTGGGTTTTTTTTAGAAAATTATTAATACATTCGTCAATATCTGTATAGGTTTCTAGCTCAGTGTGCCAATCAATGTTTGCTATTGCTGTTGTGAAGTTATTAATGGCTGCCTCATTGTGAAGTCTGAAGGTGACTTTAGTAGTGTCTTGGGGTAGTTTACCAAGAGTTGTTATGAGGAAAGTAGGGTAGTGGTCTGTGGTATTATCTGTAATTATGCCTGATTTTAAAGTGGATATGGTGTTGTCCAGATGTGGTCAAGTAGGGAAACACTAGTCTCTGTAACTCTTGTAGGTTTTGTTACTGTTGGTAGTAACATACAGTTACTCATTGTGTTTGTGAATTCAGTAACGTGTGGGTCCTGGTCTTGCAGGAGATTTATATTGAAGTCACCTGAGAGTAGTAAGTGATCTTTGTTCATGCGTGCATCAGTTATCATACTTCCTAGATTTTGACTAAATGGCTAATGTTTGACTATGGAACTCTGTAGATGTTTATCAATGTGAGAGGTTTTTGTAGGTACTTGGATTTTTAATTTAGCTATTATATATTCCCCATGTTCATCCCTTGTGCAAGTATTAGTGATACATTGTAGTTGGTCTGAGTAGTATATGGCTGTGCCACCCCCCTTGTTGGTTTGGCCTACAGTTGTGTATGGCTGTGTAACCAGGAATGGCATAGACATCCTGTACTATCAGGCTTTAGCCAGGTTTCAGTTAGTGTAATGATGGACATATTGGCATGTAAGGAATTTAGTAATGCTATGAGGTCATCGTAATGCTTGCTTAAAGATCTGATATTGTAGTTAAAGATAGTTATGTTGTTGTTGGCACTGAGAAGTGCCTTTGATTGTTCTGCAGTGTAGTAATTACAGTAACTGTTGATTCATTTAAAGTCATTAAATAAGAGGTTGGTATCAGGATCAATGTTTGTAATCATAAGATTTGTAGTGAATCTATAGTTTGAATTAAGTATAAAACAAAGTAAATAGTCTTAAGTTAAAAAATAGCACCTGGATTATTTAACAAATGTAAAATAATGAGCTAAGGACTAATACAAATAAAGTGATGATCAAATAGTGGAGCTTGGGAATATGGTAGTAGGTAGTACTATAAAGGTAATTTTTAAAGTTAGAATTATAGTATAAAATTATAAATATAAAAGGGACTAATAATAGGTTGTGGTGAACAATAAAGTGGTAATCAAATAAATGAGCTTTGGAATATAATGGCAAAATTGTGAACTTATTCTACTTTAGCACCTAAGAATAGCACCTTGATTATTTTAACAATTGTGAATATATAAACTAGGATAGTTATATAAAGCTAAAATAAAGGAGAAAAATATATAAGGGACTAAAATTAAGTAATGGTAAGCAAAGTTAAATGGACAGATGGTAGGAATTATAATATAAACTTCTAATATAAAAATACAATTTGAAATGGTACTTTCAATTGCACTAGAGTCTGGTATAGGTTGTTGACAAGATCAAGATTATAACTAGATTTAAATTGACAAAATAAAATTCACAATTTAAGTACCAAAAGAATAATAGTAAAAAAATAACAATGGTAATGTCTTGGTTATAATATGATAGTAAGAGGGTAGACAGGTACACAGGTACAAGGGATAATATAAAGGTTGGGGTTGAATATAAAAACTTGAAAATTTGGCTACAAAATGTTATGGGAAGTATAAAATAATATTTAATGTACAAAAGTAAAATTGATTGGTAGTAAATATGGTGTTTAATAAAATTTTAGTAAGTAATAATGATTACAAAAAAGTGAAAAAGTAATGTTTATTTCATACAATATTGCACTGGTAGTTATACTTGAGGTTATATGCAGTACAAGGTAATTAAGAGTAATCTAGGATAGTAAATGTGTATTAAAATAGGTAAAGGTAATTAGACAAGTAATGGTTATTAAATGTCAAAAGTAAATTGAAATTTTAGTAAAAATGATATTTATTAATTTTAGTAAGTAATATCAATTGATAGTATTTAAAAAAATATGAGGTAGTAATATGGACAGAGAAAGTATCAATTCAGCTAATGTTTAAGCGAACAATAGTAAATAAGAAAATCACATAAGGTGACTTATGCTTACTAGTAAAATCACAAAATGAGGTAGTTGATTATTTAATTACTAAGAGATTGTACAATGAAATTTGAACAATAATGGAGCAAAACGTACACTACACTACGTAGGCTTTTAGGTTGGACATTGTTTAGTTGTTCTCTGTAAGATTAGTATCCCTGAGAAATCGTGATAGATCATTCTCGTTCGTGATTGTGTACAGTTGACCTACATTTGTTTTCCTAACTAGAATTTCCCATCCCGTGTGAAGCATTGGTGTAATTGTGTCATTATTCTCTTCGCTTAAGTTTTCTGACTCTATACAGGAGGTTCTGACGTTTTTTGGTAAGACACTCGTTTATGTATATCTCTTTCTTTACTTTAATAGATGCAATAATTAAGTCTTTTTTCCTGTCATGTGAGTGGAATCTAAGCATAACACTTTTTCCTACATGGGATCCTAGTAACCTGGCTTCTTTTATTTCTGACTCTGGTACAATAACACTTGTTTGGTCCTTTATGATCTGCAGAGTAATTTCTTTACTGTTTGTTTGGTTCATATCACTGGAAAAAGTGGACTGTTAACATACTACTGCGTCCGATAGTTTATCTTGTTCCGTTTTATCTTCTTGGAGAGCAAAGTAGTCACTGAACTGGTTATCTAAGTTGTTTCTTCCATTCTTTTACTGCTTCTTCAACCTTTGTATTAAGAGATATTATTTGTTGGGTATGGCTATCTATGACTGTTTGGATGGTCTTGTCACAGTTAGTCATTCCTGGTGTTGATAACTTTTGTTCAAGACTGAGGATATTGTTTTCGAGTTGTGTCATCCTGGTGTCTTGTTTTGTTAGTGTCTCTCGAAGATTCATATTTTCAATAACTAAGTTGGAGATGCATGACTTTAGGGTATCTGGATCGTTGGTCATACCTGAGAGACTGCTTGGTAGGTTGAATCCGGGGAAGAGAGGGGAGGATGGACTGGTGGCAGCCATGTTTGTTGTTATTGTTGTGGTGTCGCCTTGAGTGGTGGTGAGTGGGTGGTTGCTGGCTGGCGTCCTCCTGACTACACTTGTTGAATAGTTGATTTTTCGGTGTTTTCTTGCTGGCCTTGGTGCTGTTTCCTCTTAGATTGCGCCTCATAATACTACAGGAATTGTTGTAGTTAAGAAGAATTGTAGTATACAAAGCTTAGGGTTACGTTGTTCGGCTGGCAGCGGGTGTTGCTTTCGGTTTGTTTGCAGTCTTCCTTTGATCTCTATTTTTTCGATTTGTAGGTTTCACTGTTGGTAATCTTTGGTCATTCTGGGTGCTACGTTGGGTAGTGCAGTTTTGCTTGTAACTAGGTCATCATAGGAGCATTGGTAGCTCTGGTAGTTGGAGAAAAGTACGGAGCTTGGAAGTCGCTGCTGCCGCTGCGGCTGCGCCAGTATTGTTGCAGATGGTAGGTGGTCAGTATTAATGTATTGTGTTGCAGGTGGTCAGTATTAATGTAATACTTGTGTTGCAGGTGGTAGGTGGTCAGTATTAATGTATTGTGTTGCAGATGGTAGGTGGTCAATATTAATGTATTGTGTTGCAGGTGGTAGGTGGTCAGTATTAATGTATTGCAGATGGTAGGTGGTCAATATTAATGTATTGCAGATGGTAGGTGGTCAATATTAATGTATTGTGTTGCAGATGGTAGGTGGTCAGTATTAATGTATTGTGTTGCAGGTGGTAGGTGGTCAATATTAATGTATTGTGTTGTAGATGGTAGGTGGTCAATATTAATGTATTGTGTTGCAGGTGGTAGGTGGTCAATATTAATGTATTGTGTTGTAGATGGTAGGTGGTCAGTATTAATGTATTGTGTTGCAGGTGGTCAGTATTAATGTAATACTTGTGTTGCAGGTGGTCAGTATTAATGTAATACTTGTGTTGCAGGTGGTCAGTATTAATGTAATACTTGTGTTGCAGGTGGTATTTGGTCAGTATTAATGTATTGTGTTGCAGGTGGTAGGTGGTCAGTATTAATGTATTGTGTTGCAGGTGGTCAGTATTAATGTAATACTTGTGTTGCAGGTGGTCAGTATTAATGTAATACTTGTGTTGCAGGTGGTATTTGGTCAGTATTAATGTATTGTGTTGCAGGTGGTAGGTGGTCAGTATTAATGTTTTGTGTTGCAGGTGGTCAGTATTAATGTAATATTTGTGTTGCAGGTGGTAGGTGGTCAGTATTAATGTATTGTGTTGCAGGTAGTCAGTATTAATGTAATACTTGTGTTGCAGGTAGTCAGTATTAATGTAATACTTGTGTTGCAGGTGGTAGGTGGTCAATATTAATGTATTGTGTTGCAGGTGGTAGGTGGTCAGTATTAATGTTTTGTGTTGCAGGTGGTCAGTATTAATGTAATATTTGTGTTGCAGGTGGTAGGTGGTCTTGGCCCTGAGAAGCTTCATCGTCTCATGCCAGACATCATCGCTACAGCTGAACGTTCAGACATTGCTCCTCATGTCAAGGATGGTTATATTATGATGTTTATCTTCCTGCCCACTGTATTCCAAGACGAATTTACTCCTTACATTGGACAAATTATCCCACCAATACTAAAGGTCAGTCAGCATTAACTTTTTTCCATGTTGATGTAGCATTAATGATGACTAGCTTGCAGTGATGACTAGCAGCAGTGTCACAGATTACCTTTGGTGACTCTCTCTAACTTCAAATTCTGATTGAAATTCTTTTTTTCCACTTGACGACACATTGTTTGTACAAAATTTGAAGACCTATAATGTTACCCATGGAAAGCCCTGGTTTATGTTAAACATTTTGGACAAGCTTAAACCTAATTTTGTATATATGTATACAAAGATGTTTAGGATTTTCACATTAAAATTAATTCAATGAATGTGACAACAAATGTATAGGTAAGTAGATAAACCATAGCATGGCACATGGCAGTAAAAAAATTAATTGGGCTAAAGTTCATTCAGATAGGTTCTCAGGTATAGTTTTTTAACAATAACAGTTGATGTTTAAAACAATGACTGATATTCTTGAAGCAATGACTATACCAAGTATCACAGCTCAGTACACTTTATTGTAGCATCTGTGCTCCTATGGAGAAATCAAAACAAAATAGTAAACAGTCAAGAAAGTAGAAAGGTATAACAATATTAATTTTTGGGTTTTTCTTTTGGGTCACCCTGCCTCGGTGGGAAATGGCCAATGTGTTAAAAAAAAGAAAAATGGATGAAAGAACACCAGTGCATACATACACTTAAGACACTTAGTTGTTTATCCAGCATGCTAGGTACATGTTGACTATCACTAATCCAGCATCATCGGGACCTGTAGGGTGCCAGATTAGTGATTTTGCTGGATTACAGAGTGGTTAGGTTAGAATACACTTACCCCAACAGCTAACCACCTCATGCTACCTTTGAAATACCCCATAAACCAGTACAAGTTGGTTAACCCTTTCACTGTCGTGACCCCTGCTCGAAAACTTGCTCCCAGTGTCGAAGAATTTAAACCCTTTGGTGTCGGTCCCATAATATTATGACTTTGAAGCCAGTATCAGTCCTGTAGTACTACACCAAAATTCTAGCAGCTTCAGATCTTGCAGGAGAAAGCTGGTAGGCCTACATAAGAGAGAATGGGTCTGTGTGGTCAGTGTGCGCAGTATAAAGAAAATCCTGCAGCAAGCACTGTATAATGAGGAAAAAAAAACTGCGACTGTGTTTTTGGTTTAAATCAGCGACTTCGCGATGTATTTTTGTGTGGTATTTATGGTTGTATTCTCATTCCCTTTATCTCATTTGATAGAATGAAAGATACACTACAGAAATAGAAATGATTTTGAAAGGTTTACCAACTAAAAGTAGCTTGAAATTGAGCTCAAAGTAGTGGAAATGTTCAATTTTTGATGCTTAAGAGTAAGCAAATCACAGTCACGTGTCCAATATATGTATATGTCAACTGGTGGGTCTAATATGCATTCACAAATGTGCTAATATTATTTATACAATTATTACAATTATGCAGTAGTTTGAATAACTGTAAATCATCTATTTTTTGTGCAAATAAAAATTAAAAATGAAAGCACACGTAATATAAGAGGGTCCTGGAGACGTAACTAATGAACAGAGAAAAATGTTATTTTAGTGCCAGGAATGTCTGCATTATTTATTCTGGACCCTATTTTGAAATTAGCCTTTCATGAATTTTGTGTGAAATTGACCAAATTAGTAAATTCTGATCACTTTTTTGTGTAGTTGAAATAGGTAAATGGGTAATTTCTTGTACTCAATCGGTAAAATAAAAGGCATTCTAGTGAAATAGATGAGTTTGGTTGAGTGGAACAAAGGAATTAACCCAAAATAGGTCTCAAAGTGGGCGAAATCACCGATGCGTTAATATTGCCGAGACCGCAAACTTTGCGAGAGTGTAATTCCATAAATTTTCCATCAAATTTCAAACATTTGGTTTCATTACCTTTGGGAAAAGATTGTCATTTCACAAGAACTTTTTTTTTAATTCTTTGACACTATAAGCAGATTTGGGAGCAAGGGTCTCAATATTAAAAGGGTTAAAAATAAATTATCTTATGAAATGATGGATCATCTTTTTCGGAAGGTAATAAAACCAAAAGTACGAAATTTGATGGAAAACTTACAGAATTATCCTCTCGCAAAGTTAGCGGTCTCGGCAATATTTGTGCATCGGTGATTTTATCCACTTTACGCTCTATTTTTGGCTAATTCCATTGTTCCAGTCGACCATACTCATAGCTATTTTGTTAGTATTCCTTCTATTCTGTTGATTGAGTAAAAAAAAAAATTCTTATTTACTTATTTCAACTATACCTAGTAAAGTGATCACAAATCGGTAATTGACCAATTTCACACAAGTTTCAAGAGATTCCAATTTCAGAATAGTGTCCAGAATAAACAATACAGACATTCCTGGCACTTAAATAACATTTTCTATGTTCACTAGTCACGTCTCCAGGCCCTTCTTGTAATATGCTTGCTTTCCATTCTGAATTTTTATTCACACAAAAATTAGAAGATTTACTGTTAAGCAGACTACTGCATTATTGTAAAAATTGATTAAATAATGTCACTCCATTCATGACCATGTATTAGACACATGACGTGATTTGTTTACTCTTGAACGTTGGTAAAAATCGAACATTTTCATTAATTTGAGCTCAGTTTTAATGTTTTGTGTGCGAGGGGCTTGGACTTACAGCAGGCATCCATGAGCGTGTTTGATAGGAGTGAATGGAGACAAATGGTTTTTAATACTTGACGTGCTGTTGGAGTGTGAGCAAAGCAACATTTATGAAGGGATTCAGGGAAACCGGCAGGCCGGACTTGAGTCCTGGAGATGGGAAGTACAGTGCCTGCACTCTGAAGGAGGGGTGTTAATGTTGCAGTTTAAAAACTGTAGTGTAAAGCACCCTTCTGGCAAGACAGTGATGGAGTGAATGATGGTGAAAGTTTTTCTTTTTCGGGCCACCCTGCCTGGGAATCGGCCAGTGTGATAATAAAAATAATAATTTTAATGTGCTTCCCAACCTGAAACCAATCAAAACTATCTCTTTTTCTGTAATATATCTTCAATTCTATCAAAAGAGACTAACAAACTGAGAATGCAATGAAAACCTTATGGCAAGGGGGATATGGATGAGGTTTTGAGGATGTTTCTCCAAGAGAGAGCCCGCAATGGTAGATTCAAATTGGATGGGTTGAGATTTGGGGGGGGGGATGGGAGAGTACTGGTTTGGTAATAGGGTGGTTGAGGAGTGGAACGGTCTGCCTAGTAGGGATATCGAAGGTGGAACCTTGGGTAATTTCAAATATAGGTTGGATGAGTGCATGAGTGGGAGGGGTTGGATTTGAGCGTGACTTGCATGCGAGTGAATGGAATTGTCGAAGCTTATTGCTTGGGTAGCGTTTATTCCATTAGTGAGTTAGATTTGTGAATGACCTGCCTAGTATGGGCCAACAGGCCTGCTTCAATGCTCATCCTCTCTTATGTTGTTATGTTAATTGAATTAACAAGTACAGTGGACCCATTGGATTTCGTAGTTGTCAGATTTTGTAATATTCGGAAATTTATTATTGTTTACTAACCCTTTCAGGGTCCGTCCCGTAGATCTACGGCTTTACAGTGAGTGTCCAAACCGTAGATCTACGCCATGAGCTCAGCTCACTCTGATAAACTGTGAGTGGTACATTTGGGCCTAGATATGAGAGAATACATCTATGTGGTATGTGTGCACCACATAAAACAGATCCTGCAGCACAATGTGTATAATGAGAGAAAAAAATGAAATCATGATTTTTCGATTAAAACAGCAACTTTGCAGTGTTTTTTCGTATGTTTTTATAGTTGTATTTGCGATTTCTTGGTCTCATTTGATAGAATGGAAGACATATTACAGAAATAGAGATGATTTTGATTGGTTTTAGCACTGGAAATGGTTTGAAACTGAGCTCAAAGTAGCGGAAATGTTAAATTTTTGCCGATATTCAAGAGTAAACAAACGACCTCACACATCTAATACACGTCAGCTGGTGGGTCTAATATACATTCACAAATATGGTGATGATATTTATACAATTATTACAGTATTGCATAACAGTAAATCTTCTATTTTTTGGTGTGAATAAAAATTCATTATGTGAATAAAAAATCAAAATGGAATTTATTTGTAAAGCCTCAAAACATAACTAACGAACAGAGGAAATGTTAGTTTAGTGCCAGGAATGCCTACATTGTTTATTCTGGACCCTATTTTGAAATTGAAATATTTTGAACTTTGTGTTAAATTGGCCAAATTGACAATTTCCGATCACTTTATTTTGTAGTTGAAACAGTTGACTTGGCGATTTCTTGTGCTCAATCGATAGAATAGAAGTAATACTAGTGAAATAGCTAAGAATTTGGTTGATTGGAATAATATAATTGGCCTAAAATAGGAGTCAAAGTCGGCAAAATCGCCGATTCGTAAATATCGCTGACACACCAAAATTCGCGAGAGCATAATTTCGTCAATTTTCCACCAAATTTCGTACTTTTTGTTTTATTACCTTCACAAAAAGATTCTCTACGATTTCATAAGAAAAAATAACAAATTTTTTTTTTTGAAAATTCTTGGACACTGGTGCGTGACTCCAGATTTGGGCCTTGGACCCTGAAAGGGTTAACACACTGGCCGATTCCCACCAAGGTAGGGTGGCCTGAAAAAGAAAAACTTTCACCATCATTCACTCCATCACTGTCTTGCCAGAAGGGTGCTTTACACTAGTTTTTAAACTGCAACATTAACACCCCTCCTTCAGAGTGCAGGCACTGTACTTCCCTTCTCCAGGACTCAAGTCTGGCCTGCCAGTTTCCCTGAATCCCTTCATAAATGTTACTTTGCTCACACTGCAACAGCACGTCAAGTTTAAAAACCATTTGTCTCCATTCACTCCTATCAAACATGCTCACGCATGCCCCCTGGAAGTCCAAGCCCCTCACACACAAAACCTCCTTTTCCCCCTCCCTCCAACCTTTCCTAGGCCGACCCCTAGCCCGCCTTCCTTCCACTACAGAC